TGAGAAGAGTGAGAAAAGAATTCGCGACAAGGAGAAAAAGACCGAGTCAGATCACCGAGAACGGAGTGAGCGAAGAAAGACGAGACAAACAGAGTAAATAATTGTCTGACTGAGAGTCAGCTGAAACAGTCGATAAAATGGGGTATGTTATGGAAAATTTATATAAATAAAATAAGGATTCATTTCGTCATATGTGATATTATGTCAGTTTATGTTACATCATATCACAGTTACAGAGGGCTTATTAATATCATGACTAGACTTGTCACATTATTATATTTATTATTTAATCCACTAGTTTACTAATCCATATCACAGACCATTGCTTTGATCAGCTCTACTTTTTTTCAAACGCTTATGAAAAGGAGAGTGCATTTTGACATGAATACTAATTACATACACGATAGGGCAGAATGACATCTTACAAAACACGCTGTTTATTTTATTTTTCATTTTTTTACTTTACATTCATATTTTAATTTTTTTCTGAAGTATTCAAAAAAATTATACTGTATTGGCAAGACGTAGTTTGGATTTTTTACAAACCAAAAAAAGTAACAGTTTTTCTAGAATGCTCAAGCATTAGAAAGAAAAAAAAACCCATGACAATATAAAATTGTTTCTGTCAATGCCGAGCACAGCATTGTGAGCATTTATTGATGCACAGTGAATCTGTATTGATGCACAGTGAATCTATATTGATGCACAGTGAATCTATATTGATGCACAGTGAATCTATTAGAAATCTACACTGAACCCCCCCCCCAACCCCACACGTATTCGAATTTCACAGAAAGACAACCCGATTGTCAAAAACGTATAGATCTACTATGTTTAGGGGAAGTATAAGACCATTGTTTTGAACATTGGCTGTGGAGATACACATCTAAAATGGCATTGATTTTTTCCTCCACCTTCTAAATGGCTTCTGGGATCACGAACATGGGTAAAATTTTCAAGACTAGGTCGTTGGACAAGGCGTGCGTGTGCACAAATGTGTGTGTGTATGTATGTGTGTGTGTGTGTGTGTGTGTGTGTAATGTGTGTGTGTATGTGTGTGTGTGTGTGT